TGGTGTCACAGAAAAACAGTGAGGCTGCCTGCTATATTTCTGCATGATATACTGCCTCTTTCCAATCAGCTTCTGCTAGGGGTTTTTATGCCCCATCTTAGTAGCCGGTATCACTGTATCATGCTATCCTTCCCAGTGAGATAGAACAGAACCACCTGCCCTTGGAGATTGCTTGCTGTTCCTGTTCTGTCCGTGCCTTTTCCTCAGTTGGTCTCCATCAGAGGCAGATAATTCTGTTTCCATCTCCACATCAGATCATTCAGGCACTCCTGGTTCAGAGACTCAGCAGAATTTCCTGCCCTCAGAGGAAGAGTGCCCAGAATAGTGACTCATACAGAAACCAGGAGGTGAACTCCTTGGAGGGCAAGCAATTACCCCTCTTTTTGTGCTCTAGAAGTGTACTTCCAACTTGGAATTGTTCTCCAGCCATCAGAAGATTGGCATAATGTCCTGGGTGCAGTAGGGATTGGAGGGGTGTGTAAGCGGGTTGATAGCAGAGAGGGTGGGAAATTTTAGGGAGGAGTGGAGGATGATAGCTGCATGGTGGGTGTGCATGGATGGGAATGTGTACCACTGCAGTGAGATAATCCTGGGACAGGAGGGGGTGGAATGTGAACAGCTGATAGCAGTACATCCTGGCAAGTGCAGTGGGGATGGGCTGTTCTGAAGCTAGTTAGGCTTTAGTGCAGTTGCCTTGGCTGTAGACGTACCCCAGTTATACTTGGAGAACTTTGATGGTGCAAACGAGGGGTGTAGAATCACCACCACCAGAGTCAACCAGTTGCCTTCTGAGGGAGGGCAGTTGATGGCCTGTTCTGCTGTTGCATAGGCCAACGCCTGTCCAACATTCCGTGCGAGCCAATGATTCCTTACTATACCACTCACGTCTGCTTTGCCCAAAGGAAGCAGAGCCACTGGAACTGGGGTGCTAGCAGTCTCTGCAATCCGCAGGGGAAAAAAGATCAACTGAACTGGGGAAAATGGGAGAGTCTGAGGGCTGAATTGCCAATTTGTCCACTGCCTAGAATTACAATGGAGCCGAAGGGAAGAGAAGATATTGTCTCAAGGAAAAAGGTCAAATTTTAGTTGACATTCAACCCTGTTTCCCCCTCCCCAATAATAACTGCACCTCAAATATGGTGTGAAGCTGAATGCTGGGATTCAAAATATGAAAGACCTGTCCTATGCCAGTCTTGAATCTGGGTGTTAGATCGCGCTAACAAAGGACTCGTACAGTGATTCAGCAAGTGATTCAGCTTTATTGGAAGTAACGAGCAAGCACTAACTCAGTAAGAAACCAGAACAGAAAACAGTGGGAGCTTATGCTCCTTTTAAACATAACCGGGCTAATGTAGCCACGCCTATTTACAAATAACAACCAATGAGATTGCTAGAATAAAGACCAATGGGAGTCTTTCCCTCCTAGGGAATGGTATCGTTCTGATTGGTCGCTGTTACGAAGCGACCAATAGGAAGTTCGCTCAGAGGAGCCCTGGTCTGGCTCGAAGCTTAACATGGGAGTCCTATGAGGTGATTCATGTAATCATTTCAATACATTACACTGGGTGCAATATTAGTTAAGCCATCATCCCAATTGTTTTATTATTTACAAACATGCAATCAACCTTTGTACATCAGTTATTCCAACAGTATTTACACTCATAGTCCTTCAGATAAGTCGGCATTTGCCGCGAACGCTGGGACCTGCGGAGCGGTGCAGGCACCACGGGCAGACAAGGTTGTGGGTCAGAGTGGGGTTCACTACAGCCTGGATCAGGCACAGACTCGACTGGGATTTCAGCCCCGCACACAGGGTTCTGCCCTGACTCGGGGACAGTACCGGGCCTTTCGGTACTCACCGCCTGCTCTGGGGGTGTCCACTCGACATCAGGGGATTCAGCCGTCGGAGAGTCAGCGCTGTCCCTAGCCCAACGTCTCCTTAACTGATCTATGTGGCGCCGCCATATTCGACCGTCAGCTAACTGCACCACATACATTCGAGTACCCACAGAGTCGGATATAATCTGCCCGCTTTCTTCCGAGTCCGAAGTGTGGATGTCCGCAGGGCTGCCTACCTCCTGTCCTATGCCAGCCTTGACGCCAATTGTTAGATCGCGCTAACAAAGGACTCGTACAGTGATTCAGCAAGTGATTCAGCTTTATTGGAAGTAACGAGCAAGCACTAACTCAGTAAGAAACCAGAACAGAAAACAGTGGGAGCTTATGCTCCTTTTAAACATAACCGGGCTAATGTAGCCACGCCTATTTACAAATAACAACCAATGAGATTGCTAGAATAAAGACCAATGGGAGTCTTTCCCTCCTAGGGAATGGTATCGTTCTGATTGGTCGCTGTTACGAAGCGACCAATAGGAAGTTCGCTCAGAGGAGCCCTGGTCTGGCTCGAAGCTTAACATGGGAGTCCTATGAGGTGATTCATGTAATCATTTCAATACATTACACTGGGTGCAATATTTTCCAAGACCAGAGGCAAGTAGAGATGGTGGTCTGTTTGAGGGGGAGGGCATTTCCTGTAACCCTTTTTGCCAAAGTTTTGTAGAAGTGTTGTCTTCTCTTCAGCACTTTTGAAATGTCAGCTGCCAGAGTCTTGGGATTCTTCTCGAAGCACCTTAGCAACAAGCCTGGTGGTGGAGATGCCGTGGAGCCAATTTGCAACACGGGCACAAAAGAAGCTGCTGCTCTGCCAAGCCTCTGAAAGATGCGAGTCATCGAGCCAGATCTGGCTGAGCAGCATTTACAGTCCCCAGATGTGCTGGCCTTTGCAAGGCAAGAATATGGGATGTTTAGTGCCAGAGATACAAATGGCTTTTCATAAGTAATTTTTGGGTCTAGCTTTGTCCTGCCCCGATCACCACAGGCTCTACCTGATGCTGGCAGAAGCTTCTTTCCAAAAAGGGCATGGACCCAGGTATATGGCTCTTCTGAATTCCTCTGCTGGTGACCAGGCACCATTTTTCTATGTTGCTCTCTGGTTCATATGAAAGCTTTCCTACCCCTTGCTTCCGCCCCTCCCCCTCCCGGATTAGCAGGAAGGAAACAGAGGCCCTTTTTGCTACATGCCAGGGACCCTTCCTGGTTTGTTTGTTTTGCCATGTATCTTAACTAAGATTGGAAGATTTCCCCCCCAAAGAAACAATGTATTATTCTGGCTGCTGTAGAATGTCTTCAGTTCATTCTGCCAACCGGACCAATCGACCAGCTGGGCCCCATTGCCCCTTTCCCTGGGAGAATTCTGCTGATGCAGGACTGGTTCCTTTGATAAATGCATGGTCTATTTATTTCCTTTTTTAAAAATAGAAAAAAGAAAAAAATACTGCATTATATTGAAGAGTCCCACATTTCCTCTTGTGCAGAGCAGAATTAGGCCTGTATTTTCTCATAGTAACATTGTCAGAGTCCTGCTGGTTTCCCATGGCACAGTTTAAGATATACTTCAGATCTCTATATACAAATCTATCTATCTATATATATACATATATAAATGAGAAGAAAAACCTTATTTCCTTTGAATAAATATAAAATATAACTTGAATGTACAACTTGTTTATGTTTGATTTTTTTGGAGGGGATTGTAGCAATAAGAGAGGCAGAGGCAAATCATTGGTAAAGGTTGCAAATGGCATGGGATATGGGGGAGAGATTGAGTTTTATTCCTGATTAATCATTCTGGTGGCTAAAAAAGAGAAGGGATATTAGAAGAGAGATTCTGAGGCTCATATTGATCTTGAAACACTTCCCCTAATCCCCAGATGTGTAGCTTTTCCTTCATTACAACATATGTTCCTTCCAAGCCCCTCTTTTCCTAAATTTCAGGGATTGCAGCTTGGCACTGGAAACAAGTGCCAGACATCTGTCAACCCGATACTCCCAACCTTCGTTGTAAATCATGCTCCCAATTTTTGCTTGTGAAAGTTGCCTGGCTGACATGTTGGTGTGGTTTACAAGTATTGTCATCCTTCAGGGTTCACCTCCCTTTGCAAGAACAGGCAGGGAAGAGCTTTCGGCAATGGAGAATCATTGTGGTCTGGGGAATCACTGGGTCAGACTAGGTTTTGGAAGATTAAGCTCTAATTCTCTTCACAGATTGTCACTCACTCAGCATAGTTAATGAAATGGGGGAACTCCTTGGAGGAAATTTTAAGAGAGGAAAGCAATGGAGGGGAGGAATGCTGCTAATGTGAAATGCTGAGAATTCTGCATATGCTCAGAGCAGATCTGGCAACCAATGCTCCCTCTAAGCCATGGAGTCTTGTAAGCAAAATTCTACTTTGTGAGTTACTGGCATTGAAGTTGTGAGTGAGTGGTTTGGCTACTGCATAAATTAGTTTTCGCTGGAGCCATCCTTCCTGAACTATCACAAAAAAATGTGTAAACCGGAGGCTAAAAAACTGAGCTAGTTTACACTAACTCAGTTTAGAGGGAACACTGGTGCCAACGTCCAAGTGGGGCCTGGCGTATTCTAGGAATTACACCTGCGCTCTAGTCCAGACTACAGCGATCAGTTCCGTTGGAGGAAATGTCATTCCACTGATATCTCCACGGTTCCCAGGCACCACCCCCGCTGGATCTCCATGTATTTCCCAAGCCCACCCTGGTAGCTATAGCTTACATATGGGCTGTTTTCACTTTCTCTCTCACACACAAAATAAAAATAAATGGCAAAATAATCCATATAAAAATATCCCCCCCACCCCGTTCATTCCATTAGATAAATCAGGCGCCAATTCCACTACGCAGCAAACAAGCTTCCTCAGCAAAGGGAACAAGCCGCTGCACCCCCTTGTGGGCTAGAGCCGTTCCCATTGGCTCAACCCTTCGGAGGCTTGCACTCATTCTGATTGGTTTATTAGCCTTCCTGGCAGAGACAGCGCCTCCCGCCTCCAGGGAAACGATTTCCGGTTTTTCCCCGGAGCGCCCGCCTCCTCCATCTCTATTGGCTCGTGAGCCCGCTTTGATTCGCAGGCAGCCCTTCGGTCGGCGGCGATGGCAGAGGGTGGCCTCAGCCGCGTCCCCGATGTGGACATCGATTCCGACGGCGTCTTCAAGTACGTGCTGATCCGAGTCACGCCGGAGGGGAAGGAGCCAGGCAAAGAGATTGTGCGCGGCCACGCTTGGGCGGAGTATCACGGTGAGCACGGACGAGCCCGGCCGACTAGCCGAAGGGGCGGGGTCTTGAGGAAAAGCGGCGTGCCTTGTAGAAGGGGTGGGGCGGGGCTTCTTCCTTGAAAAGTGTACACTATAGAAGGGAAGAGCCAGGTGGGAAGGTGTGGGGCGTGGTTAGGGAGGGGCTTTGTAACAGTGGGGTCGGGTTGGCCACCTCCAGGTGAAGGCTGAATATCTGCCGGTGTTACAAGTGATGGCCAGGCTACACGAATCGCTTATTATTTATTTAAAGCCTTTATTTCACTTTTCCTGGAGAAAATGGCTGCTTTGGAATGCGGGCTGCCTAGCATTATACCCAACAGAGTTCCCTCCCATCTCTAAACTTTACTCTTCCAGGGCCCACCTGCAAATCTCTAGGTATTTCTACACCTAGGTGGGGCTGGGTGGAGCTCTCCTGGGGTTATAGCAGATCTGGGATTACAAAAGGTTCTCCTGGAGAAAATGGCCGCTTTGGAAGGTAGACTGTATGGCATTAGATTCCATTGAAGGCCCTCCCATCCCCAAACCCTGCCTTCCTCAGGCTCCAGCCCCCAAATCTCCAGGTGTTTCCCAGTCCAGGTGACACAACTCTGAGGTGGGGTAGGGAAGTGGGCAGGAGTGCAACCTGGTTGGGGTAGGGCTGTAGTACAGTGTGAGGCAGACCTGTATGTGTTCAAATATAACACTTGGCCTTGGCTGGCATTTCTAGAGACAAAACACTACTTCCTTTTTCAGCCTGGGGAGTGACAGCTGTTAAATTGCTGCTTTTAGTAGAAGGGTCTCAGCTTGTTCTCTTTGTGTTTCCTTAGCTGATATCTATGATGAAGTAGCAGAGGCGCTGGAGAAGCAGGGCTTCCGCTGTAAATGCTTGGGCGGCGGCAGGATATCCCACCAGAGCGGCTCCAAGAAGATCCATGTTTATGGCTACTCAGTGGTAAGGAGGGACCTAGAGGGAAAAAGGAGGTCTTTAAGAGGTGCTTCAAGTCACTCCTGTGGACAATGCATGTAGGGAGGGATGCTGGATGCCACTCTTAGGTAGATTTCATTTAAAATACTTATATCTAACATTCACAGTGGTCACCTAAACATATTTAAATGGCAAACAATTATAAAAACTGCCTCCTGAACTGTTAATCAGCTGACATTTAAAATAGTTGTGGGGGTAGGTGCGTCCTCATAAAGGCAGGCTGTTCTGAAGTCTTGGAGCCATCATAATGGAGGCCTTGCTTTTGCTTTCTTTCTGCTGCAGTGAGAACGTATGAAGCAGGCTGGAATCATCTGAGTGCAATTGGCTGATATAGGGAGAGAGGTTTCCTCAAGGATCCCGCAGCTATGAGATCCAAAGCAGTCACAGGGTGTGTTAAGGCAGATGTATTTATTATTTATTTAAAACATATATTAGCTGCTTTTCTTCCTTACAGAGCTCAATGTGGCTTACAATATAGATAAAATGAATAAAGAACAGCATTTAAAACCACAATTTAGGACTGTTAGAATGGTCAAAGCAATGGTATTCTCAGTAGTAATGTATGGCTGCAAGAGTTGGACTATAAGGAAGGCTGAGCGCCGAAGAATAGATTCTTTTGAATTATGGTGCTGGAGAAGATGCTTGAGAGTCCCTTGGACTTCAAGGAGATCAAATCAGTCAATCTTAAAAGAAATCAACCCTGACTGTTCCCTGGAAGGCCAGATACTGAAGCTGAAGCTCAGTTACTTCAGCCATTAAATGAGAAGGGAGCACTCACTGGAGAAGACCCTGATGCTGGGAAAGATTGAAGGTCAAAGAAGAAGGGGACGGCAAAGGATGAGATGGTTAGACAGTGTCATAGATGCAACGAACATGAAATTGAGCAAGAGGATGGCGGAAGTCAGGAAGGCCTGGAGTGATCTGGTCCATGGGGTCGCGAAGAGTCTGACTCGACTGTGCGACTGAACAACAACAAAAAGTAATTTAATCAAATGCAGTCCTAAATGTAACCTTCTTCAACTGCCTTCTAAAGATAAAAAGTGAGGGGACCAGGCGCATCTCCTTGGAAGAAGGCTCCATAATCTTGGGGCTGCCACTGAAAAGGCCTTCTCGTGTGCCCATCAAACAAGTTTCTTTGATTGATGGGACAGTCAGGAGGGCCTCTTCTTGTGAACTTAATTTGTGGGCAGGAACATACAGGAGAAGATGGTCTTCAGCTGCTCCAGTCCCAAGCCATGTAGGACTTTAAAGGTCAAAACCAACACCTTGAAGTGGGCTCGGGTGTGAATTGGTAGCCAGTGCAATTGCTGTAATATCAGGGTCACATGCTCTCAATAGCTGCCCCTGGTTTAGCCACAGCGTTCTGCACTAGTTGCAGCCCCTGAACACTCTTCAAGGCAGCCCCATGTAGAGCACATTGCAGTAGTCCAGTCTCAATCATGGATCACTGTGGCTAGGTCTGACTGTAGCAAGAACAGCACCAGCTGGAGCTGAGCAAAAATACTCCAAACCACTGCAACCACATAGTTTTCCAAGGTGACTGCTGTATCAAGTGGTACTCCCAAGCTGTGAACTTTTTCAAGGGGAGTATAACTCCATCCAGGGCGAGAGAGACCTGAAGTCCCTGGTCTGTTTTTCTGTTAACCCAGAGAACCTCCGTCTTGTCAGGATTAAGTTTCATCTTGTTCACCATCATCCAGCCCTTTACTGACTCCAAACACTGGTTCAGAACATCAGCAGCATCCTGGGAATTAGGTAGGAAAGAAAGGTAGACTGGGGTATCATCTGCACATTGGTGATATTGCAGCCTACGTCTCCTGTGTGGTGGTGTGGATAAGAGTGGTGGACTCTGATCTAGAGAACCGGGTTTGATTCTCCACTCCTCCACATGATGCTTGCTGGGTGTCCTTGGGTCAGTCACAGTTCTCTCAGAGCTTTCTCAGCCCCATGTACCTCACAGGGTGTCTGTTTTGGGGAGAGGAAGGGAAGGCAATTGTAAGCCATTCCAAGACTCCTTCAGGTAGTGAAGAGCGGGCTATAAAAACCAACTCCTCCTCCTGATGATCTCTCCCAGTGGCTTCCCATAGATATTAAATAGCCTGAAGGGTAAGATAGAACCCTGTGGAGCCCCACAGGCTCACCAGTTATATGCATGGGACCATTGTTGCCATAATGTTTTTTGTTCACAAAAGGGTAATTGAAGAGAAACAAGGTCAGAATGCAAAAGCCACATTGGGTTTCTTAGTTTTGCCTCGAGCGCAATGAATGTGCTCTGCATTGAATTATTCGTTCGGTCCACCTGGATCAGTATGGTCTGTGCTGACTAGCAACAGTTCTTCAGGGTCTTGGGTGGGGAAAGGTCTGTCCTGACATCAGCTCCCTGGGATCCTGTGATGGGACATTGAACCTGGTACTGGTACATTTTGTGTGCAAGACATGTAACATGCTGTACTCTGAGATACAAACAAATGCTAGAAAGATCCTGTTAAAGCAAAATATACTGGGATTTCAATAGCACTGGCAGCTTTACCATGTTTCAGTGTTGTGGGTAGAGTTACCAAAGACACATGGATGTCCTTGGGTTAAGAATAGTAGACCTTTTCTGTCGAAGAGCATTGCTTGTCTGGCTAACAATGGCAATAAAATCTTTCAGGGCTTTGGCAAAGCCAAGCACTCCGTGGCCACAGAGAAGCTGAAAGCCAGATACCCCGACTATGAGGTCACCTGGGCGGACGAAGGCTACTGACAGCAGCAGATATCACTCCAGAGGGGCCTCAATGAACTTGCTTTGCCTGCTCCCTTCCTTGATGGTGCTGCATATACAAACTGCCAAGGGAAATGGGTTGGTTTTCATGCGAATGCATTGCCAGTGCTGTGCCAGTCTCTGGCTGCTTACACCAAGCCTGTGTATGAACAGAGAGAAATAAATTATTCCTGTCATGACTCTGGTGCTGTAGTCTCCACAACACACAAGGCCCTGTGCGTAACGTCCCAGCAACTTCTTTGTCTTTGAAAAGGCTTCTGCTGTACATAGGAGAAACAAGATGGGGAGGGGGAAGCTCAAGTGGGTGCAGCCATTATTCCCTCTAAGCTGAGTTGGTGTAAGCCAGCTCACAGTTTTTTAGCCTCTGGCTCACACATTTTCGTCTTAGCTCAGGAAGGATAGCTCCAGAGCAAACTAATTCATGCAGTAGCCAAATCACTCGCTCACAACTTTAATGCCAGTAGCTCGCAGAATTTTTGCTCACAAGACTCCACAGCTTAGAGGGAACATTGGTGCAGACCATACAGAAGGCTGGTCTCTGATTGGTGGCAGAAGAGCAGTGGCTGTCCAGGCTGCAGGGAAAGTAGCCGAGGCATTTACTTCCAGTTTGGTGTAGTGGCTAGGAGTGCAGACTCTAATCTGGGAGAACCGGGTTTGATTCCCCACTCCTCCACATGCAGCTGCTGGGTGACCTTGGGTTAGTCACAGTTCTCTGAGAGCTCTCTTAGCCCCACCTACCTCACCTGGTGTCTGTTGTGGGGAAAGGAAGGGAAGGAGATTGTAAGCCGATCTGAGACTCCCGAGTAAAGGGCGAGGTATAAATCCAGTCTCTTCTTCTAAACCAAAACAGTTGAGAATAGAACTATTAAGATCTGAAATTGGAGGGGAACCAAGAGTACGCAAGTAAGCTCAAACAACTGCTCTCTCCTAATACCAGTGTGTGGGAATGTTAGTGATCATTGTAGCAACAGTGTCTTTTTCCGAATGAGGATTCTGCTCATTCTGCTGTTGCTTTTTGTTTGCCTAAGTCTGCATGCTCAGACTGTTTACCTTCAGCTCTGCTAACTGTTGGACGCTGCTTTCCTGGCAAGTCAAGCTTGTATCCCTTATGGATGCAGAGACAGGCCTGAAAGTCTGAGGGTGATGGTTGGAGAAGGGAATGGGGCAACCTGAGCAAATACAGGGGCAGAACCTCTGTTTTAGCAGTCTTTCAGCAGCGGCTGGACAAACACTTGTCAGGTATGCTCTAGGCTGATCCTGCACTGAGCAGGGGGCTGGACTAGATGGCCTGTATGGCCCCTTCCAGCTCTGTGATTCTCTAATTCTAAGCTTTTGGCAGGAGGTATGGAGATGGGGTGAGAAGGCAAGACCAAAAGGGCTGATAAAAGGAAAGGGAGTGGGAGTCAAATGGAAAGCCAGCAAGGAGAGGAGCCATTTCAAGTGGTCAGAGTGTGCACATAGTCATGCCTTTTCTCGTCCTGTGGCACTTGGATTTTTGCAACAATGTTCAGTTGTGGAAATTTAAGTATTCCCAGAATATGCTTGGCACAGTAAACAGAAGGGGCTGTGAAGACATCTTTGCTGGGCCAGTTTGGTGTAGTGGTTAGGAGCGTGGACTCTAATCTGGGAGAACTGGGTTTGATTCCCCACTCTTCCACATGCAGCTGCTGGGTGACCTTGGGTCAGTCACAGTTCTTTCAGAGCTGTTCTCGAAAGAGTGCTTTCAGCCCCACCTACCTCACAGGGTGTCTGTTGTGGGGAGAGGAAGGAAAAGGAGATTGTAGGCTGCCCTAAGAGATTGTAAGCTGCCTTTCCCCATATATACCCCAGAGCACTATGGTCGGGGTCGCAACATCAATTAATCATTCCGGGCCCCAAAGATGCTAGGCTCACTGCTGCCAGGGCCTTTTCTGTGGCGGCTCCTTACGGGTGGAATGAGCTCCTGGAAGAGATCCAGGGCCCTGCGGGACCTCTTGCAGTTCCGCAGGGCCTGTAAGATGGAGCTCTTCCACCAGGCTTTCAATTGGGAGCCGCCACCATGACCACCAACTATGCTACATGAACATCTGTAGCACTGAGCTGGCTCGAACAGACCGGAAGACTGCTGAATTGAGAACTTGGATGGTATATCTTAGAGCACGACATCTAACTTTAAGGAATTGTTAATACTGCGAGCACTTTAAATGTAAGAATGTTTTAAGCTGTTTTAAAATGTTTTAAAGTTTTATGTTGTCTAGGTACATTGTACCAACCTCTGTAAACTGCCCTGAGCCTGCCCGCAGGGAGGGTGGGGTATAAATACAAATAATAAATAACAATAATAAATAAGACTCCTTCGGGTAGCGAAGGGTGTGGTGTAAATCCAATCTCTTCTTCTCTCTTTACCTAAATAATGGGGAAATGCCACCTCAAGTTGCATGTTGCCAGGTTACCAGGGCAAGGTGGGGGCATATTGGAATGGGGGTGATCTCTTCCCCTAAACAAATATGAATTTGTGGGATGAACTAAGGCATGTGGGAAAGCCAGCAGCCCTTGTAAGAAGGCAGCAGGAAAGAAAGATGATGCATCTGTTTTAAGCTTCATGGCATCCAGGAACATATCAAGCTCTCCAGACAAATTGACCCCTTCTGGCCATGCACTTGTGTGTAGCCAGCAACCAAGGTACGTTTCCATTCCATTCCACTGAAAGAATTCCCCAGGGGGGTTGGGGTGCCCCCCCTCAGGCTATCTGCTGCGTGTTTTCCAGTAAGGATGAGTCTCTGCTGACCATGACGGTTGCAGCCTCTTGCAATGGCAGGACCTAGCTCACCGTTTTATGGCTTGATGGCCCTAACTTGAGCCGAGGGTCCAAGGCCACTTCCTGGGAAGCAGGGGCTGGATTTCTTGGACTTGCTCTGAATGCTGACCCAGCCCTTGGTGTATGACCGGCCTCTGGGGGTCTAGCTATGTTGCCAGTCAATTAAAGATGTCGCAATCTGCTCAGCTCTGGCTTCTAATAGGATGTGTCTAAATCCAGTTGCAGTTGTAAACACACAAGCATTTTGAGCGGAAGGCTAAGCGGTAAAAAAACGATGGTGTGGCCTATAGGTTTTTCTGATCCGATTTGACATGCCAAAAACATGTTGGCCCTAGCCAGTGCTGAAGTGCATAGCTGCCATTTTAAAATAATGTAAATAAATTCAGTGTATTTAAATTTTTAAGACTGAGGAGAGAGGAACCACTGCTGTTGGTTTCTCACCCTTGAGAACCCAAGACAGGCTGCCTTTCTCAGGGGAATGACTTTGTATTCAGGGAGCTAGTGTGGCAGTTAGGATATCAATTTAGGATCCGTGAGACCTGGGTTCAGATCCCCGCTCTGTCACAAAGTTCCTTGGTCAGTCACTGTCAGCCTAACTTACCTTGCAGGGTGGTTGTGAGGGTGAGGAGGAGGAAGGAAGGACTGTGTATGGTGCCCCGAGCTCCTTGGAAAAAGGGCAGGATTAAACGTGTAGTAAGGGGAGAATTGTACTCCCAAGAGGAAGAGTGGGGCAAAAATGTGGCCGATTCCATGGAGATTGGTTTTGAGGCTATGAAAGACTTTCAGGAATATCACACTCGGAGAAATTTGTGGCCGGGTCATGCTTTTCAAGGATAAATGCAGCTGGGACAGCTTTCATGAAGAAACTCTTAGTTTTAGGATTAGGACAATTTTGCACAGTACGGTTAGTTGTAGAATTTGTCATTAAAAATTATGATGACACCTGGTTAGATAGCTTTTTTTAAAAAAGAAGAATGCGTATTTGTGTATGATGCATCTGATAATGGCTGCTTGCCATGACAGCTAAATGGAGCCCTCATGTATCACTCAATATCAGGACATGGAAGACGGACAACAGATTAGGGCAGTTTTTGTCATGCCCGGCTTGTGAGCTTCCTGTAGGCATTTGTTTGGGCCTTCTGGGAGCCAGGATGTCAGATCAGGTGGACCTTTGGGTCTAATCCAGCCAGGCAGTTCCAGTGCTGTATTAATTTCTATAAAGTAATCCCATTCATTGACCAGTGCCACTATCACCATCATACCAAGGATCCTGTTTATGCAGTATAGTGGTTATGTGCGCGGACTCTAATCTGGGAGAACCGGGTTTGATTCCCCACTCCTCCACTTGCACCTGCTGATGTGACCTTGGATCAGTCACAAGCTCTGGCACAGCTGTCCTTGAAAAAGAGCTGTTTGTGTCAGAGTTCTCTCAGCCCCACCCACCTCACAGGGTGTCTGTTGTGGGGAGGGGAAGGGAAAGGAGTTTGTAAGCCGCTCTGAAACTCCAAGTGAAGGGTGGGGTATAAATCCAATCTCTTCTCTTCTTCTTCTTCTAGTATAGAAAAGAATGCCACCATGTTAAGAATACGATACCAAATACTTACAGTGGTTATCTAACATTCAGTAATATTTCCAAATATTATTCTTGCAAAGATATACAATTCTTAAAGGGATAGTACAACAGTCCAAAGGTAAGTATAAAGGTTGCTAAAGTGACTTCTTATTTTTGTTCTTCCAGATTCCTGAAGAGATCCTCCAGCTTCCTAGCAATCAAATGTGCTATCAGTATGGGCGTGTTTTCACAAACTTCCTCAAAGTAGCATACAATGCGAAAATGTCACATGGAATTGTCACACGGAACCTAAGCCTTTATATGTTATTTCCTGACACTCATAAAGGTGACTGTCTGCTTCATTACAAAATGACATTAAAATTTATTCTGTGGAGAGTGAATCAGTGTCAGTATGTGACTTTAAGGAAATTTGTGAAAACATGCCCATACCAGTAGCACATTTGGTCGCTGGGGAGCTGGAGGATGTCTTCAGGAATCTGGAAGAAAAGAACAAAAATAATAAAGAGACTTTAGCAACCTTTGTACTTACCAACATTGTACTATCCCATTAAGAATTGTATAGCTTTATAAGAATAATATTTGGAAAGATTCCTAAAAGATAACCACTATAAATATTTGGTATCTTATTCTTAACACGGTGGCATTCTTTTCTATACTAGCTATGGAACACCGTGGCCCTTTTTTGTATATCATGTAGTAGCTGTAGTGTGCATTTATCGCTTGGCTTGCTTGCTTGAGTCATCTAGAGCTGGCCCATTTCTGTAGCAATGTCTGCTTTTGGAACTCTGGCTTGTGCTGGTTTCCCAACAGAGCATTTCTGTTGCCTCTACCGTTCCTGGGATCACACAGGTGCCT